AAGGCCACTTCGTGCGCCGCGGGCTTAAGGCTGAACGGTAGCGCGCTTATAGAGGAAGAAGGAAGGGGTCGAACCGCGCGGTGGCTCTCCATGGTGGCTACTCTATGAAATATTCAACGCGCCCGCGGGCCACGTCGTCATTGCTTTTGTAGGAACGTAACCACCACCCCGTCGCGACGCGCCTCGCCGCGCCGGCGTCGTTGTTCGCCCGTCCGTCTGTCCATCTCGACCGGATGCATTATTTTTCTACATTTCCCGGCGCGCGCCTACGATGCTACCGATAGCTCTATCCGAATGCATAAACGGCGCCTGCGGTATTCAACTCGACATTCTCATTTGAATTCGTATACGAATAGCCGGGCTGAATCGAGACTCGGTTGAACTCGTAGAAGCGGCTGTAAAAACGGCAACTTTATTTTCGTATTAAATCTGATTCCCGGATGAAATCGGCGAATTCCGGCGAAGATTTGCGTTTAATTACGCGTGTTTCGGCGATTGTTGACGAGGAGAAGAAGGATGCGCAAAGGTGACCTCCCTCAAAATCCGCTTACGCGACTGTGAACGCAAACGAATGGTAATGATTGTAATTGAATTCTCAGCCGGATTAGACAGGACCGAGCTTTGCGGTGCTCATGCACGCTCGTTCTTTGCACAAGACCACCGTTCTTAAACAGTGACGTTGAAGAGCTCGACTTAGCGTGTCGCGAATTAATTCGCCAAATCGGAGGAAATGCACATTTCCAACGAGGAAGAGGTCTCGAACGAAAGGAGGAGGCCCGTCGGTGGGGCACCGAGTAATTTTTCCACTCTCTAAACCAACGGAAGCTGTATGCACTCCAGTCTGTCTGAGTACTCGACCGATCTGACATCGTTTTAATGAGACCGCGGCTGCGACGAGGAAAACGAGAGAAAAGAGAGAGGCCAGAAGAAAAGGAGACCAGGGAGGAGAAAAAGGGACGGCAATAAGGAGGCATTACGGCAGCGCGTCGAGTTCGGCCGAATTAGCGGCAGGCTAATGACAAAAAGTCGAATTAAAATAACAATTGCGTCGGGAGGCGAGTGAGGACGACGCGAAGGGATTTAAATCCCTCCGCCTCCTTCCAACCCTCGCCGCCCACGCCCGCGCATCCCTCGCGACGCTCCCTTTTTCGCTCATAGACTCGCCGGAATATTTTGAAATTGCAAATTTGCGCCGCGTCCTGCCTCTCTTCCTCCGTTTACCCCCTCCCCTCTCGCCCCTTCATTCTCTCTCTCTTTCTCGCACCGTCGCGCGAATTTAAATAAAATACGCACCCCATCGATTTGCAGTTTCCCCAGCGGCGGAGGAGGGGGGGAGG